TGATGAGATGAAGTCTGATTGGGACAATTGTGCAGCCTGGTCCTTGCCTTAAGACAAGTTGGCTGGAACCCACAAGGCGGAGAAGAGGTTGCGTGGCGGCGGGGACATGGTGTAGAGACTTTGTTTGACAGTGAGTTTGCTGGGAGGCAGCCATGTGCTTCAAAGCCCAGAGCCACTGCGAGCTCAGACCCGGCGATGGTGGTGTTTGTCTAAATGAAGGGGGAAATAGTCTCACTTTTCTTGAAAGAGCTCAGAGTACTCCATGGCCAGTTCTCTCAGGTGTGGTCACCACATTTGAAGGCGGAGATAGCAAAGTGGAATAATGTCCTGGGGAAGGTGTCACCTGGGGCCACAGAGGGTGTTACTGAGAGAGGACTTGGGATGGGACGAGCCTGATGGACTAATGAGAGTGTTTGCAATGCAGTCGGATCCAAGACAGTGGGACTCGCTCTGTGTGGACGGGACGTGAAGACCGCCAGGTGGGACTTAATGGGGAGTTCTGTTATTTACCAATACAGTGTCTAACAGCTACATCAGAGGTGTGAGATGTTTGAACAGAAACTGGACTTGGTAAGACTCCATGCTCCCAGTGCAGGGGGCACGGGTTTGACCCCTGGTCAGAGAACTAAGCTCCTGCGTGCCACATGATGAGGCCTGAAAAACGTCTATCAGAAAATGTATAATCCAGACTATATCTTGTTTACAAGAGTAAAATATAAGATCACACAAAAAGTTTGAAACTAAAGAGGTGGAAAAAGGTACACTGGATAAAATTAATAGAAAGAAGCTAGTTGCTTGCAGCTAGAAAGTAGCAATATTAATATTAATATCTATGTGGTTCAAAGTTACACTTATTTCTGTATTTAAATTCTCTTTATGGCCTGTATCATTACCTGACATTTTCTCCCTTCCTCTACTCCATGCTTTGGCCTTCCCAGGTAGTGCAGTGGCAAAGAAGTCACCTGTCAATGCAGGAGACACAAGAGAGGTAAGTTCAATCCCTGGGTTGTGAACAGCCCCTGGAGAGGAAAATGGCAACCCACTCCAGTATTCTTGCCTGGGAAATCCCATGGAGAGAGGAGCCTGGCAGGCTACAGTCCATGAGGTTGCAAAGAGACAGACACGACTGATCTACTGAGCACAGTACGCTACTCCATGTTAGACTGTAAATTCCATGAGAACGGGAACCATTTTTATTCTGTTTGTTGCATCTTGAACCTTTCTTAGACCACAGAAAAGACTCAATAGGTATTTGTCGAATGAAATAAAGGCTCCTAATTCTTTTCTTTTTTTGAACACTGACTTTCCAGGATGCAGGGTGTGTGAACCAAACTTTGTTCTGGTTAACTATTTCCGCAAACACACCACCCCAACACTTAGTGGCTTAAATACCAACTCGTTATTATCTTCCATGGCTCTGTTGGGTGGGCTGGGCTCACCTGAGCAGTTCTTGTATGGGCTGTTTCTTGCAGCTGTGGTCTGCATGGTGGGGGCTGCAATTATTTCAAGGCTCCACTGGACTTGACATCCAAGATGGCGCACTTGCATGCCTGGTGGCTGATGCCGGTTGTCAGCTGGGAGCTCAGCGGGGTCTGCTGGGGGCTTGGGCTTCTCCCAGTCAGGTGGCTGGAACCCAACGGCAAGTCTAAAGACCAGAGGTGGAAGCTGCCCCTGTCGACTACAAGCTGGTGCTCGCTGAGGGCGTTTGCCGTCTGCCTCTGCGGAGACTGAACCTTGTGCCGCTGCAGCTGCTTTTCATGCCCTGGAGGCAGTTCAGAGTGGAGAGTGAGGCACTCTGTGCTCCAGGGAAGTTGGTGGAGCAGGTCTTTAGAGAGTTAGATATTTTCAGGAACTGATTTCATGACCTAGTCCTTGCATCTCTTCATATTTAGAAACTTACTAAATCCCTCCATGATGACATCAGCTCCTTGTGACTAGCAGAAAGCCTTTTGTAAAATAAGTCCTTGATTGCACTGAACTCCCCCTTTCACCAAAATCTTATATATTGCCCTTCCCCCGCTATGTCTTTGGAGCAGTCTCTCAGAGCTATCTGAGGGGCTGTCTCCTGGGCTGAAGTCCTCATTTTACCCCAAACTCGCAACGCTCACGTTGTTCATCTTTTTAGTCAACAGGTCTCTCAAGGCTTAAGCTAGATAAGGACACATCACCACTTTGTCACCATCTACTGGGCAGTCGTGGAGTCCACCGTGATATATGGACGGGGACATAGATCTGATTTTCATTCCCTTTCTCAATGGGACGAGTGTTCAAAGAAATCTGTGATCCTCTCTAATCTACCACAGACCTTCAAACCAGGGAGACTGCTTCATGACAGTGCTTGACATGACGGATAAGATTTCCTGAGTCTGAGGCATATCTTTACTCAGGGAAGGGCACTTCCATCATGGAAAGAAGAGCATGCTCTTCTGGAATCTCTGCAGGGTGTGTGGGCTGGATGAGATGCCCCCCCAAGACCCATCTCCAGTGCTGACATTCTTGGATGAACCCTCAGTGTCAGACTGGGGGGGAAGTCATCATGACTCAGTGAAGCCTCAGAGGGCTGTGGATTTCACGGAGGGTAAGAAGTTGAGGTCGACCACTCAGTTACTGACTTCCTCCTTTCTCCCTTCACACCAGCTAAGCCCTTCTGTCTAGAGCCGCCCATCTGAAACTCCATGCTGGAAACAGCACTGTAAGGATCCATCACCCCAAGACACATCACCACTTTGTCACAATCTACTGGGCAGTCATGGAGTGTTTCCTGTCTTGGGGACAGTAACACCTCAGAAAGCTGTACAAACACTGGCAATGATTTGTTGAAAAGTATCGGTGAGCTTTCAATGCTTTTGTTTACAGTTTATTTTTAGATATTGGATCCATTTTAGAAATTGCTAGTTAATTTCTTTGGCTTTCTAACATCTTCTCAGAATTACGAGCAATGTGTCTGTCCTTAGGCAAGTTACTTGACATCTCTGTGCCCTGTTTTCTCATCTGAAAAGAGAAGTATAATACTAGTGTATATTTCGTAGGGTCATCGTGGAGTTTAAATGAGTTGATATGCTGGGCTCTCCTTTAAGACTCTACAAGGCAGGGCTCAATAAGTTCCAGCCATAGTAATTTTTCTTTGAACACAAAATAGCTACAGAAGAACCCACTCTCTGAATGTTCTATAAGTTATTTTACCCATCGGTGAATTTTGTGTTTTTGTATCTTTGCCACTGTGAAAATGACATCATGAATATCTTTATAGGTAAATCTTTGTGCTGACCACTTAGACAACATTCCTAGAATTGGAATTTTTGAGACGCTTTTTTTGTTAATGCATGGAGTTAAATAAATTTCAAAATAGTCAAGTGAAACGGTGTTTGAGTTCTATAGGATTGGCACCTCAGTTTACGTAGGAAAATATATTCATCATCATCCACAAAACAGAACACCACTGTGGTTGATACCCAGATTTGCCGTGGACACTCACAGCCCCTCTAACTCTGCAGGGGATCATTAGATTTCTCACTTCCTATTTTCCAAAATAAGTGTTTTTTCTTTATTCAGTTCTTTTTCTAGATGGTCCTTTATTCCATTCATCTACAACTTAGCCTGGCTTACACCAAATTATTTGATAGGTCAACCCAACACAATGTTAATATTAAAAATAATGTTTTCATTTATTGACTTCTTTACCGCTGAGCCTCCGGCCTTCCCAGGTGGCTCAGTGGTCAAGAATCTGCCTGTCATGCGGGAGACGGAGGAGATGCAGGTTCAGCCCCCAGGTGGAGAAGACCCTCGGAGGAGGGCACGGCTGCAGTATTCTCGCCTGGAGAATCGCATGGACAGAGGAGCCTGGTGGGCTGCGGTCCGCGGGTCGGCACGAATGAAGCGCTTGAGCACAATAGCGCACTTGTTTTTGACTGCGCCAGGTCTTTGCTGCTTTGCGGGCTCTTCTCTAGGTGCGCGCACGAGCTTCTCACTGCGGTGGCTTCTCTTGTTGTGGAGCAGGGGCCTGGGTGCCCGGGCTCCAGTAGCTGTGGCATGCGGGCTCAGGAGTTGCAGTCCCCGGGCTCTGGGTGCCCGGGCTCCAGTAGCTGTGGCTCACGGGCTTCGTTGCTCCGCTGCATGTGCGATCTTCCCAGACCAGGGACAGAACCCGTGTCTCCTGCATTGGCAGGCGGATTCTTTGCCACTGAGACACCAGGGAAGCCCGATGTTAGCGTTTTTAATTGGTCCCTATATGTAATAATAACTTTTTTCTTCCAGTGGGAAAGATGAGTCATGTGGATCAGTTTTGAATGGGAGAAGGATGCGTGTTCTTCAGAGAACCAGTCCCTACATCTCACATCATCAGTGGATGTAAGGTTTCACCCAGATCTCCTTGATTTCACATTCACTGAGTAACTCCTGTGATCTGACCCTGCAAGTTGTCTGGCCCCTCATGTGATCTCTTCCCCCCTAAAGTAGTAGCACTTGCCTCTCTGTCCAAGGGACAGGGTCCGTCTTCCTCTACCCGGAGATCGTTGCCCCTCCGGCCTTTCCATTCACCGTGTCCTCTGCCTGGAATGGGCTCTCTGGCTCCTCCATACCCAGTTCATTCACCTCCTTCTGAATTCAACCCAAATGTCACCACCTCAGAGAGGCCCTCCCTGACTACCCCGTGGGGGATCACTCTGCTTCTCTTAAAGGGTTTTCAGGAAATAATTGAAAGCTATCTTGCTTTATGTTGATCTTCCCCGGTAGGTTGCGAGCTCACAGTGGCAGGGACGCATCTGTTTGGTTTGTGGCCATCTGCCACGGCAGCAAGCACTGATGGAGGGAATGGATGTGTCCAGGTGAGTCCTGTGGAGTGCAGTGCTCTAAAGATTCCTGTAAAGGTGCCTGTGCTATTTCCCTATGGCTGGGTTCTGACAAATGACAGAAAGCAGAGTGGCTTCGAACAACACAGATTTATTATTCTGTGTTGCTGGCACCCAGAAGTCTGAAAATGGGTCTCACAGCAGAGTCATGTCCGCCTGGGGGCTGAGGATGGAATTCTTTCCTTGTCCTTACCAGCTCATGCTCCCTTCCAGCAGGTGCCTCAGTGGACCTAACCTAAAATCCATGGTATGGTTAGTTCTTTCCCCTCTCTCATCCATCTTTTCCCAGTCATCCTGAGCAGCCTTTTCCATGTGTGGGGAGGGAGAGGGGCTGGGTTACTGTGCAGAGATGTCAGTGGTCTCTATTAAGCATGCACTGTCCCAAGGGACTATTCTCTGCCATTCAATGAGTTCCATGAGGACACATGCATCTCCCCTGGAAGTCAGCTAGCTGTGGATCTTGCTTTCCAGAGACCCAGAGGTCCTCTTGGCTACAGAGCGACACCCGGGCTTTCAGTCAGTTTGCAGGCTTCATTAATGCTGCTGATGGTTGCCCTGGGGGAAGGGTGGGCTGCAGGATTACCTGGCAGGCTGATGGCTCTCCTTTCTCCATGCCTTAGTCAGGAGGGCTGTCCCAGGCTGCGCAGTCCACCTCAGGCGGTCTCTCTGTGTTTAGCTTAAGCGGCAACAAGAAAGAAAGATGACCATATGCTTAGGTTTAGTTTATATCACAAATGATGGAATAGATCACTGATAGCTTGGAGAACATGAAAGACAAGAAAAGCAGTAGAAAAATGTCTGCTTGTTTATGGGAAAGTTACAATAACGAAGAGTTGGTCATGGTTGCCTTGCCAACACGTACACTGGGGTGAGGGGGCTCATATTTCTAATTCTTTTCATCAAAACCTTTACCACTGTCAACATACAATGTAATTTACTTATTTTTCCTCATCCCCTTCCCCTTCTTCTCCTATTCTTCCTCTCCCTGCTCCCTCCTTCCCCTCCTCCTCCTCCTTCAGAGTAGATGGTGGATACTCAGTAAATATTTGTGGAGTGAATAAATGCTGGTAGGGGAGTTTCTCAGAAAACATCACATGACATTGATTCACAGGCAGTGAAGTCCTTACCACCATTCTGATTCTATAAATTTGTGGCTTGTTCCAGAAAGAAGTGAGACAGGAATACAAGGAAATAACTCTGCAAAGGAGTCCTCACTAAGAAATTACATTAAACACAACTTCATACTGTTAGTTGATCTATTGCATGGATGAACTGATCTATTTTCCTATCAGTAAGGTTTTCCACTGTGCAGTGGGCAGTATGCAACCCATAGCTCCTCAAGTTTGACCTTAGGGTTCATTTCTGCATAGTTGTCGTTAACGTCACAGGAAGTATCCTTTAGTTGTTGCTGTTGTTCAGTCAGTAAGTCATGTCTGATGCTTTGTGACCTCATGGACTGCAGCATGCCAGGCTTCCCTGTCCTCATTATCTCCCGCAGTTTGCTCAAACACATCCATTGAGTCGGTGATGCCATCCAACCATCTCATCCTCTGTTGTCCCCTTCCCCTCCTGCCTTCAATCTTTCCCAGCATCAGGGTCTTTTCCAGGCACTTTCTTAATTAATTATCAGTGATCACTGCGTGGTTATTCTCTGCCCCATCCCTCCCTACCCATCCTATAACCTTCTCTGCTCTGCGACCAGGAGGCTCACTCCTAGAGTCTGCAGTGCTGTCTTCCTTGTCAGCTGGCTTCCCACTGGCTTTGGTGTTCGGGAGGCAGCAGCTGACAGCTGGGGCAGAGAAAGGGATCTGGGTGGATCCTTGCCTCTCCTGTTCTACTCTGGGCTGCCTTCCTCTGGCAGCAGCTGGATTCCTGTATGACTCTGGATCCTTGCAGGCAGCCCCATCCCCATGGCTGCCACTCTCACTGGGCTTTTGTTGGGACATTTCCACCCCTTCGACCTCGGTGATGGCGATGACAATGCCCACCCCTGCTGGGTTCTGGGAGCCACGGCATCCTCGGTGTGTCCACTTATTCCATCCACAGCTCTTGATTCATTCCCCTGGTAACATCTGAGTTGGATTCTGTGTCCTGCCAGGATGCTGGCTGGTACAGCCACTGTGGTTTCATTCACTGTAGGGCATGATAACCTTGTTCAATGCACCAGATTGTCTTTTGTCTCTGTTCTGCATCCAAGACCCATTAGGCCCATGTGGACCCATCATGAATATGGTGACGTCTCTCTCCTTACAATACAGTGATAGGGAGTAAACATCTCTCAGAAAGAGGTCTTAACCAGGTTTCTATTTATATGACAAGCTAGGGAGATGATGCTGAAAGCAAACAGGAATTGACTTGTGGGGGTTGCCTGCAAGATTCTGAGATGGGGACTCCTGCCTTTGTGAGATTCGCTCAGTCATGTCTGACTCTTAGAAATCCCATGGACTGTAGCCCACCAGGCTCCTCTGTCCATGGAATTCTCCAGGCAAGAACACTGGAGTGGGTTTCCATCCCCTTCCGCAAGGGATCTTCCTGACCCAGGGATCAAACCCAGGTCTCCTGCATTGCAGGCAGATTCTTTCCCGATTGAGCCGCGAGGGAAGCACTTCTAAACCATATGCGTTTAGACACGTACCCCTGTTAGTGCAGGCGCTTGTCGTGTTTGCCTCCTCCCTGTTCTTGTTCATTTCTGCCCTCTCCTGGGAATCCTGCTGCCTTCAAAGGCTTGGGCTTTGTGCGCTGTCCCTCCTTGGGAGTTACTGCACTTTCACCATCCACCTCTCCTGGAAAAAAGGCTGACATTCAGCTAAAGAAGAGCCATGCCTTTATCTCAACCTTCTCTTGGATGGTAGTCATGTGTTCCTTTGACTCCGAGATTGGTGGGACCTCACTAGTGCGGTCCTGAGAAACAGAGGAATTTGACACCTGAAAGCTGGGCGATTTCTGTATTCTGAAAGATCCAGGCTTTTTTTAATGAACTCTGGGCAAAGATGCCAGCAGGTTTGCAGGAGAGACTGAGTTCCTCTCTGGGGTGACCTGGAGACCTTGTAGAGTGGCTCCTCCACTTCCTCTGTGGCGGCCCCCCGCCCATCATGATATTTACAAAGAGGAACCACAGGATGATCACATGAGAGCCAGGAGAGGGGCGCCTTCCGGGCACCCCTCCACAGTGGGCTGGTGCTGAGCAAGCGCAGTGAAGTGGTGATGCTTCGGACCTGGACCTCTGAGTCAGGAGGGAAAGCGCACGTGTGCTCGTTTTCACGTGGGGCTTGTGTGTCTTGAGTCCCATAGTGATTGCTTTAGCCACAGTGAACTAAGGGCTTGTGGACGGGCGTTGTCTTGTCCTACCCTCTGGAGACTAACCGTGTTCAGCTTCTTTAGAGGTTTCTGGTCCACCTTAGGTCTTTGGGTCTCCTCCTCGGCTGTCTGTGGAGGGGTGGCCTGAGTCTTCCTGGGGTCAGAGTTAGGTCATGGTCAACAATGGCAGTTTTGTGTCCAAGGGATCCAGGCTTCTATGGGAGAATTTTGGTACCAGGGCAGGCTTTCTGTGTGGCAGAATGCACCTGATAGATGCCTTGAGAGAGATGAGTTGGGCTAAGGGCAGCTTCCAGAGGATGGTAGGACTCCCCAGGCCCAGGGGAGCTATCCTTCCATGCAGGGCACAGATGTGCTGACTTTGGTGCTAGGAGACTGGATAGCTCCCCCATCCCCAGCAGAAGACAGAAGCCTGGGACTCTGGGTGGAGGCAGGGGAGAGCGTGGCCGGGAAAAAGCTGTACTCTGAAAGCTTTGAGGGCTTCTGAATGCACCAGCTCCCTGGAAGGCCGTGTGCATCATTGGCCAGAGGGTGAAATGGACAGGATCTGGAACACGGGGTCCTCCTGGCCCTCAGGAGCCACTAGCTCCCAAGACTGAGGTCTGGCACACCCTGCCAGGTGCCCACCTTGCCCCAACACTTCATGTGTTTTCCTTACTTTTTTGGGACCTCAGGTGTCGATGACCTTAGTCTTAAATTGCCTCTGGGGAGTGTTGGATTATTGTATTGAAACAATGATTTTGATCATATAGTCTTGCTTCTTTTATTTAACTTCTAATTCTTTTTTAATTAAGAAGATTTAGAATTTCTTTTCTTTTCTTGAAAATGGTTCTACTTCCAATTTTTGAAATTTGAGCTTTAAAAATTAATTTCTAAAGAGTTTTAAAATAATTTTTCACTTCTAAAGTTGCCATTTAGTAGTCATTTCGTGTAAGTCAAATCACTATGCTGTACACCTTAAACTTATACAGTGCTGCACATCATCTATATCTCCATAAAACTGGAAGATGCAAATGGCCTTTTAATTTGTTACATTAGTATTTTGTAGATTTCTGTTTTGAATTCTCATCACTTTGTAGGTTTACTATTTTTATATTGGCCAGTAAAATGTTTAGATTGCATTTGGGTTAAAATGCACTTGCCCTTTAATACTTAATGATAAAACACTTCATCTTTTGTCATACTTTTACTTTTTAAATCAATTTTTATTTTATTTCTCTTCAGTGTCCTTTTACATCTTTTCAGAGTGTTGCATGTTGCAGATAACCCCTCACAAATTTCATGTATTTGAGGTCTAGTGCTTCACCATTTCTGAAAATTCCTGTTTGGCATGTTTGCAGGCGGAGAGTAGCAACAAGGTTTGAATAGTGAGAGAAAATTCATACCATTAACAGCAGGCTGTATTGGTTTTTGCTGCATGACAATGAACTTGCCACAAACTTAGCTTAAAAGAGAGCTTATTTATCAGCTCCTAGTTCTGTAGAACAGTGGTCTGGTAGAGGCAGGGCTGGTCCTCTGCTCAGGGTCTTTTATAGCAGAAATCAGGTTGCTGTTAGGGCTGTGTTCCTCTCTGAAGGTTCTGGACAAGAATCGACCTCTAGGATCATTCAGGTTGGTGCCTGAATTTAGCTCCTTCTGGTTGTAGAATTGAGATTCCCGTTTCCTTGATGCCTGATTTCTGCTTCTGGAAATTGTCCCCATTCTTCCTCAGATGGCCCCCTCTCCATCTTCAAAGCCAGCCACAAATCTCTCTCATGTTTTAAGTCTTCTTCCCAGAAAGAGCCTAATCCATACTTTTAAAAACAGTTTTATTGATATATAACTCACATACTATTTGGTGTACAATTTAGTAGTTTTAATATATTCACACAATTGTGTGACTATTATCATGGTCTGATTTTAGAACATTTTGATCAGCCTCCCCAACCAAAGAAACCCTATACTTCATTATCAGTCAATTCCCATTTCCCCCTAGTTCCAACTAGTCAACTTTCTGTTTCTATGGATTTGTCTCTTCTGGACATTTCATATGAATGGAGTTATGCAAGATATGGTCTCTTGCGCTTGCTTTCTTCCACTTAGCATAAAAAAGGTCACTCATGTTGTAGCATCTGTCAGTACTTCACTCTTTTTTGTGGCTGAATAATATTCCATTGTAAGGATATACCACATTTTAATAACCCATTTATTAGTTAATGGACATTTGAGTTGTTTCTAATTTGTGGCTGTTATGAGTAACCTGTGTACAAGTTTTTGTGTGGATGTATGTTTTCATTTGTCTTTCATATACACTTAGGAATGGAATTGCTGAATCAAATGGTAACTCTCTGTTGAACTTAATAGAAAAATTTCCACACTTTTTCACAGCAGCTGCACCATTTTATATTCTCTTCAACAGAATATAAGGGTTTCAATTTCTCCACATCTTTACCAATAGTTGTTATTATCTATCATTTTTGATTGTAGCAATTTAGTGGATGTGAAATGGTATTTCATGTTTGATATGCCTTTCCTTATCAACTAATAGTACTTTTCATGTGCTGATTGGTTATTTGTGTATCTTTTTTGGAGAACTGTCTATTCAAATTCTTTGTCCATTTAAAAATTGAATTTTTATTGAGTTGTAAGGGTTCTTTATATGTTGTGTATACTAGACCCTTACCAGATACTTGATTTGCAGATATTTTGTCATAGTCTGTGGACTGTATTTTCCTTCTTGATAGCATCTTTTGAAGCATGCAAATTTTTAATTTTGGTGAAGTCCAGTTTATCTGTTTTTCCCTCCCTTTTATTCCCTTTGTTTTTTGTGTTCTAGCTAAGAAGATTCAGCCTAACTGAAAGTCACACAGATTTACTCTTAAACTTTCTTCTGTGTGTTTTTATCACTTTAGCTCTTACATTAAAGCCTGTGATTCATGTTGAGTTCATTTTTGTATGTGTTATGAAATGGGAGTCTGGCTTCGTTCTTTTGCATGCAGATATCTAGTGGTCCCAGCACCATTTGTAGAAAAGACCACTCTTTATATGTCGTGTTGGCACCCTTGTGAAAAATCAGTGGACCACAGATGTATGATCTTTATGTTTATCTTTATGCCAATACTAGTTTTATTACTATTACTTTGCAGTAAATTTTTAAAAAGGAATGTGTGAGTTCTCCAACTTTGTCCCTATTTTTAAAAATTTGTCTTGGCTTTTCTTACACTTCCTTATGAATTTTAGGATTAATTTATCTATTTTTACAAGAAATAAAGTTGGGATTTTGATAGGGATTGATTGAATCTGTAGGTTGTTTGGGGGAGTTTTACCATCTAAACAATCTTAAGTCTTCTAATCCATGAATACAGGATGTCTATTTAATTTCTTGCAATGCTATTTTATAGTTTTCAGTGTTCAAGTCTTCCATTTCTTTTGTTAAATTTATTCCTGAGTATTTTATTTTTTGATGTTATTGTAGATGTGATTGCTTTCCAAAACATCATTTTAGAATTGCTAGTGTAGAGAAAAATAATTGATTTTTAATGTCAATATTTTATCCTGAAACTTTGGTGAACTCTTTTCTTAGTTCTAATAGTTCTTTAGGATTTTCTATACACAAGATCATGTCATCTACAGATAAAGATACTTTTACTTCTTCTTTTCAAATTGGTATGCCTTTTACTTCTTTTTCTTGCCTAATTGCCCTGGCTAGAACCTCCAGTACACTGTTAAACAGAAGTGACAGGAAGGTCATCTGTCTTGTTCTTGATGTTAGGGAGGAGTTTTTCTTTCTTTCATTATTTATTGTGATGTTAGTAATATGTTTTAGAAATTGCTTTTATGTTATTTTTTATGAGACTTTGAAATATTTACAGATGAAATGAGGTGATATCTTGGATTTGCTTTTAAATAATCCAGAAAAAATAGAATGGAGGGTACAAGCAAAAGGGAAAGAGCCATATGTTAATAATACTGAAGCTGACTGATGAGAACAAGGATTCATTATACTGTTAGCTCTAATTCTGTGTGTGCTTGAAAATTTACGTAATAAAACTCAAAAAAGTCCTCATTCTTAATTCAGTCCTCAGAACCTTGTAGGACATTGGTTGAGGGCTGAGAATGAGATGGAGCCTCAGATGGGTTTAATTACAAGCAGCATGATGTAACACATGTCCAGCTCTAGGTGCAAGGCAGGAAGAATAACTCTGGTTGAAATATACAATCACTGTGTCTCGGCACAGGTCTGGCCCCTTTTGGAGACCAGGGTGCACATATGACCAAGTCCTGGGTGAGTGAGGGGTCAGTGAAAGGGACCGTCTTAGTCCATATTCTTTGAATGATGGCTCTGGGTGGGGCAAGGATTCCATCTCCAGGAGTTTACTTGGGAGGTAATCCTAGGAAACCTAGTGGAAAATGGAGACGTGAGATGAGGAAGGCAGGAAACCCAACAAAGACTGCCTTATAAAGCCAGTTGCCACGTGGGACCCCGGACCTTAAACTGCAAGGAGCTTTGGGTGAAAATACAGAATGCATGTCGAGTCCTCCCAACCCAGGCGTTGGGGAATTTTCAAACTGATTCCACCTTTTGTTGAGAGTTGATTTCTGGGAGCTTGAATTCTCCAGCAAAAAACCCTCAGGCAAGGAGGTGCAGGTGCTGGGGCTGAGAGTGGGGTGGGCACACCTTCATTACAAAGATGAGGCTCAAGGCCATGGAGGGCAGTGACGGCATCTGCCACAGTGACATTTCTACCTGATGGCATGTTTACCTTTAATGCACTTCTATCATCGTTCTGTCCTGCAATTAACCTTGGATCTCATTTAAGCCTTCACTCAGAAATCCATCTCTTTCCCAGGAAATGGAATATAGAGTAGTCTTATTAGCCACTTACTTCAACTTCACCTTTTCATTCAAGGTCATCCTGCAGATTCCCAGAGAAGCAATATTGAAAATGAAAGAAAACCAAGATGTGGTCTTTTGAGCTGTCTCAGACATTTATTATGCAGTTTGAGTCAGTGAAAGGCAACAGTAATGACTCATGTTTTCAAGGCTAAATGGAACAGTATCTCTGATATAACCTCTGGCTTCAGTCACACTTTCTGCTGGGAAATCAGGTCCCCCACAGCACCATCTTCTTGGGTTCTCCAGCAGCCTGGGAAAGCAATTAGGAACCACGTGTTTGATTCTCCTGGTTGCCAAGAGATGACCCAGCCCCATGTGTATGTGGATAAATATTTAATAACTAGCTGTATGGGAAGAAAAACCCAAAGCTTGGGTTTTTAACTTTTGCCCATTTCCCTGGTGTAAACGTTCCCACTGTGGCTGATTTCAAATTACCAAGAGTTTAACAACTGACTTGCAAGATTCCTGAAGAGTTACTAATTGGATCTTGTGAGCTGTTAAAATCTGTCTCCAGCACACCACAGCCACTGAGGACTACTCCTCTCCTGGACCCTTGTGACTCAAGCCACTCTTGGCAAATCCTGCCAGCAGCTTCGACAGCATGAAAGGTGCCAGCTCTGATGGGACAAACCGGAAAGCAGTGTCTGGCACCCACTCCTCTGCTAAGGGAACCAGACTGAAGCTAAGCAGGACCCTATGGGGCCTTCCCAGGACAGACACCACCACACCCTCCCTCCGACCCTGCTGTGTCCTTAGGCTGCCTCTTGTCTATAGAAAAACTTTAGCTAAAGGATAAATTTCATCAGAGAAATGAGAAACTAAAAAAGTGAAGGAAAATGGTCAAACAAGACAAAAAAATGACTTGTTCAGTTGCTCAGTTGTGTCCGACTCTGTGTGACCCCATGGATGGTGGCATGCCAGGCTTCCCTGTCCTTCACTTATCTCCCAGAGTTTGCTCAGACTCATGTCCATTGACTTGATAATGCCGTCCAACCATCTCATCCTCTGTTGCCCCCCTTTCCTCCTGCCCTTCAGTCTTTCCCAGTATCAGGTTCTTTTCCAATGAGTCGACTCTTGCCATCAGGTGGCCAAAGTATTGGAGCTTCAGCATCAGTCTTTCCAATGAATATTCAGGGTTGATTTCCTTTAGGATTGGCTAGTTTTAGCCATTAAACAAAGTCAAAGACCTTTAGTTCCTCCTCCGTGTCTATAGATAAAATTCTGAAGCATATCTTTTGAGCTGGTTTGCAGATACTAAAACTCCGATGAGGTGGAAGAAGTTAACTTCATGATGTCCAGATTGTAGTCAAGACATAAATGGCTCCATCTTGCTCAATTCTGAGAACTGGCCTCAAAGAAATGGGAATAAAACAGCCCTGGAGTTGAAGACTAACTGTACTGAAACCAATCAAGATGACACTGATCAGACTGCTGCCCGACCTACTTCAAGATGATTACCTGAGCTCACTGTGCTGCTCTGCATGTAGCCCTCTCTCTCCTCATACGCCCCTGAAACTCCCCTTTAGAAGCTTGTGGTCCTGGTTGGCAGTGGGGAATTGGCTTTTGGAGATGAGCCTGCCTTCTCCCCAAGTGGCTGACCTCCTGGATACAGCAATGTTTTCTTACCTGCTAACACTATTCTCTCGAGTGTTGACTTTTGAGAGGCGAGCAGTTGAACCTGAGTTCAGTAAAGACCTCACGGCAGCCTTGCACAGATCCCTGGCAGATAGATGCTGAGCACTGGAAAGATGACTGCTACTGACCAGCAAAGTCCACAGCTGCAGGGACAACCTTCATCAAGCTAAAGGGAAAGGTTGTCATGGAGACTGTGCTGCATCTGCTAACGGAACATACAGAGTCCCAGCCCTCTGCTGTCTTGGTCAGCACTCTCTGATGGAGGTGATGGAACCTTACTGATCTAACATAAGCTTCATCTGAGTTTGGGAAGCATATAGTCACTCTTCATGAGTTCCTTTTTGCCTTCCTTCAGTTCAGTTCAGTCGCTCAGTCGTGTCCAACTCTGCGACCCCATGGACTGCAGCACACCAGGCCTCCCTGTCCATCACCAACTCCCGGAGCTTACTCAAACTCATGTCCATCGAGTCGGTGATGCCATCCAACCATCTCATCCTCTGTCGTTCCCTTCTCCCCCGCCTTCAGTCTTTCCCAGCATCAGGGTCCTTTCCAATGAGTCAGCTCTTCGCATGAGGTAACCAAAGTATTGGAGTTTCAGCTTCAACATCAGTCCCTCCAATGAGCACCCAGGACTGATCTCCTTTAGCATGGACTGGTTGGATCTCCTTGCAGTCCAAAGGACTCTCAAGAGTCTTCTCCAACACCATCAATTCTTCAGCACTCAGCCTTCTTTATAGTCCAACTCTCACATCCATACATGGCCACTGGAAAAACCATAGCCTTGACTAGATGGACCTTTGTTGACAAAGTAATGTCTCTGCTTTTTAATATGCTGTGTAGGTTGGTCATAACTTTCCTTGCAAGGAGTAAGTGTCTTTAATTTCATGGCTGCAATCACCATCTGCAGTGATTTTGGAGCCCCCCAAAATATAGTCAGCCACTGTTTTCATTGTTTCCCCATCTATTTTCCATTAAGTGATGGGGCCAGGTGCCATGATCTTAGTTTTCTGAATGTTGAGTTTTAAGCCAACTTTTTCACTCTCCTCTTTGACTTTCATTAAGAGGTTCTTTAGTTCTTCTTCACTTTCTGCCATAATCGTGGTGTCACCTGATATCTATGGTTATTGCTATTTCTCCTGGCAATCTTGATTCCAGCTTGTTTGCTTTCTTTAATAGAAGCCAAAGTTAATTTTTGAATAATGGACGGAGCCCAGTGTTTGGCAGGACAGCTAATGGAGTTAAATAGGAATGCCCATTTGCAAGTGAAAGTGGATCTTTGTATCCAAGAAGACAGGAAGTACAAACTCTGGAAAACTTCACGTTCAACCTAATTTACTATATGATTACAGTTAAATTAGTTGGCTAATTATATTTAAATTAGTTGACTAATTTTTTTAATTTTAAATTGGTATTTTGCTAGAACATCAGAAAATGTGAATTGAGGGGAAAAACTGGGTTAGAAGATAGTATTTTAAAAAGGCTAAATATAGGAGAAATTATTTTTGGAGAGTCTCCTGAAACATTTTATAATTAAAGAACATGGGAAGACGGGAATAAGCCTCTTCACTCCCAACGCAGGGGGCCTGGGTTTGATCCCTGGTTAGGAAACTGGATACCGCATCTCACAACTGAAGACCCCAATTGCTACAGCTAAAATATCCTGCCTGCTGCAACTAAGAGGGAAGGTCTTACATGCTTCAACTAAGACCCAGTGCAGCCAAATAAATAAGTGAATATTTTAAAAGAAGATAGATTTAAAAAAAGGAGTGTGTCGTTTTGTTTGAGCCTAAGTTTTTGATGAAATGAACACACTTGCAATACAAGACAGTATTTGTCCACTGTGCTAAACTGACAGGTCAGAGTATTACGTTTCTTTTGAAAGCTAAAAGAGGCTTCTATTGAATGTAAAACCTTTTAAAGCTTCATAGTTCTAGGCTGAGTAGAGATGGCCCCAGCTAACAAGGCTGATGTTTCCTCCTGTTGTTTCCTGCTGCAGAACTGAGAGAATTCTCTTTCAATCACAGGTTTCCACGCTAGGAACAAGCGAGTGGTTCTGTTCATTTTTTCTCTGTGGTAGAATATCTCAGTGCTTCAGACTGGAAAAACTAGGCAAAATTAAAGAGAAGGAAAGAAATCTTCTTCACTTCTCCCCCAACCCCCTGGAGATAACAGTGATGCTGTCAACATCAAATGACATATGGTTGAAAGATACCATGTAAATATCACCTGGGGGCGGGGCAGGGGGAATCTTCCTTAAATTGATTTAAAGTTGAACTTTAATGCATACATCATCTTTTGAAAACACTGTTCCTCTTGCACATGTATCCTGCTTAATCAATTATCACTAAAAAATGCCACCTGCCAGAGATGATTAGACACAAAATCTTCTCTTAAATGTGCTCCAATTTGACCTCAAGTATGTGTTTATTGGTTTCAGCATACAATCAAAGAGATTGATTGTATGGGGAGAGAGAGATTGAGATTGAGAGCAAGATTAACTGGAGTTCTGGAAAAGATTTGCTAGGGTCATCTTTGGGCGGGGCAGTTTGGCCCTGCCCTACAGTCAGATCTCATGGCAGCGGGTGCAAGAAAGCCTGGCATTGATTTCTCAGAAAATCAGATTCTGCTCCCCAGAGCATCTTCTTCCCTCCCTCCCTCCTTCTCTCTCCCTCTCTGTCTCTCTCTCTTCCCTGTATGGAGCAGGTTGTGTGGGCCTGGGGAGAGGCTGTCAAAGGAAGAGTGACGAGATGTGGGAGGATGGGGATGGGAAGCACGGTTTCTGCCTGGCCTCCCCCTGGACTGGCCCCTCCCCACCCCGGGCTGGCCCTGTTTGTCACCTGGACCCCAGCACCTGTCTGTAATGCATCTCCCTGCTATCACACTGGCCTATTCCAATCATTTCCCACCCAGCCTGGAAGCCAGAGGGGACTGAAAAAAACCCACATCTCCCCACGTCCCTAGGCTTCCTGAGGGCTGTCCTTCTGGGCCTGGAGGAAGCCTGGCATGCTGTAGCCCCTACCCTCCTGCTCCATCTCACGGCACCTCCCCTTTCTCAGTTCCTGACACGTGCTCCTTTCTTCTCGCTGCCCAGATGGTCCATGCCATTTCCTCTGGAATGTTCCTCACTTCCTCTCCCAGCGGTGGCCTCTGTCCATTCTCCAGATCTCAGCCTTGATCCCGTGCTCTGGAGAGACCCGCAACCAGCGCTGTCTCGGAGGTGCGTTTGAGGATCCCTCACTTTAGCCCCTTGTTCCCTTCAAGTCATTCCCCTCCACTTGTGTTATTTCACTGTGAATTTGTCTCCTTGCTATCACTCTTGCTCTCCTGTCGCAGTTGAAGACTGACCAGGTGGACCCACACTGTCACATCCAACATGGCTTTAACAGCACCTCTTGTGGGGCTTGGAGCAGAGCAGACACTCACAGACTCTCTTTTAGAGCAAATGTCTAGTCAAAGCTATGGTCTGTCCAGTAGTCATGTACAGATGTGAGTTGGACCATAAGAAGGCTGAGCACTGAAGAACTGATGCCTTCAAGCTGTGGTGCTGGAGAATACTGTTGAGAGTCCCTTGGACTGCAAGGAGATCCAGCCAGTCCATCCTAAAGGAAATCAACCCTGAATATTCATTGGAAGGACTGATGCTGAAGCTCCAATACTTTGACCACCTGATGTGAAGAGCTGATTCATTGAAAAAGACCCTGATGCTGGGAAAGATTGAGGGCAAGAGGAGAATGGGCAGATAGAGAATGAGATGGTTGGATAGCATCACTGACTCAATGGACTTGAGTTTGAGCAAGTTCCAGGAGATGGTGAAGGACAGGGAAGCCTGCTGTGCTGAAGGCCATGGGCTGCAAAGATCAGATATGAGAGCAACTGAGCAACAACAACAGTGAAGAGAAACAGGATTTTTACAAAGAAGGACCCTGGACAGAGTCTAGTTTGGGGGTGAAAAATTGATTTCAATTTTGAACAAAGCATTGGCCTCAGACTCTTAATTTTCACACCAGCTTATAGGGTGGATCTCCTCAACTGTATTACCAGTGAGGGAATGGAAGGTTAGAAAGATTCAGGGTTTGCCCAGGATTATTAGTTGCCAAGGAACCACGCAGGCCTCCAATAGGACAGGCTTGGGTGTTCCTGCTGTACCTAATTCACACTGAGTTTGAGAGAAAGGGTCAAGTTCAAATGCAGCTCAGACCATATGAAGAATGGGGGCCCAGGCTTCAGATCCATGCACCTGGAGCTGTGGTTGTTGTGTCTGTGGACACTGGTGGGAACACCAGGGAGAGAAGATGCAGATTAGAAACTTTCCCAAGTTTTCCAAAGTCCACCTTTCACAGTTCTTCAAGGTGTGATGTATCCGGGTGGATCCATGTGTCCTTCAGAGGCCTGCCTCCATAGCTTGTGTTCTCAGCGAGTCCCTCCCTCTGGTGCTGGCCTGCAGAATGAAGTATAGTGGATGGGGAGAAATCTGAAGAAAATCAAGAGAGGGTCAGTGTTTGCTCTTTCCAGAAATCAGCCATATGAGATCTTTCTGGGCTCACACACCACATTGAGTAACTGATGAAAGCTAAGAATGTCAGAGAGCATCACCAACTCAATGGACAGGAGTTTGAGCAAGCTCTGGGGGATACTGAAGGACAGGAGAGACTGGTGTGCTGCAGTCCATGGGGTTACAAAGAGTTGGCCATGACTGAGCAATTGAAGAACAACAATGATGACGACAATAAGAACTTTATAGAGAATACACATTCATTTTCACCATGACATTAGCAGCATCTTGGTTCCCCTGATCACCATCTAAAGGTTCCTTGGGAGTCAGAGATGCCAGATTAAGAACGTTCACCCCAGGGATGTCCCTGGTAGCCCAGAGGTTAAGAGTTTGCCTTACAGTACAGAGGGAATGGGTTTAATCCCTGCTGGGGAAACTAAGATCCCACATGCCTGGTGTCCAAAAATCCAGAACGTAAACAATAGATGTGATAGTATAACAAAGTCAGTAAAGACTTTACATAAAAAAAAGAACATCCACCCCAGAAGAGAGATAAGAAAGCCTTCCTCAGTGATCAATGCAAAGAAATAGAGGAAAACAATAGAGTGGGAAAGACTAGAGATCTCTTCAAGAAAATTAGAGATTCCAAGGGAACATTTCATGCAAAGATGGGCACAATAAAGG